GAAATGGACGATAAATATTCTGGTGAAATTAAAGCTACCCTTTTCCGGCTTGATTCCCAGGCGGCACAGTGACAATTGCTAACTTTGAGGTCGCCGTGCACACGATGCAAGTGTGCGCAATAACCGAATTTGAATTCTTTAGCTGATACATGCACAGCGTTGCAGCACTTTACTGCAAAAACGCGTAAGAGCTGGTAGAGGTGCCCATCTCATTGCAAAAGTTTGTCATTTCGGTCGAACGAACATAATTACATCACTATGACCAAAATGTGAACCATCAATTTCTGCTGCTGAGAAAGTCTCGAGAACAAATTACTTCAGTAACAGAATGTTAGAAACTCCTCGTTGCGTACGCCGCTATTGATTTTGCTTTAGCTGTTAGTGCGAAATTCCTCATTTTCAATAAATAATCACTTTGAGATTTCCCTTGCATGAATTTAGAGAACTAATTTGAAAATTTTAGTATAGTTAGAGTATGTATTTTTATTCTGGTTCTTGCAGGGTTTTGGAAATGTGGGCACGTATACGTCACAGTTTTTGTCAAAAGCCGGTGGGGTGATCATTGGAATACAGGAATATAACTGCTCACTGTATAATCCAAATGGAATCAACATCAGTGAACTGATTAAATACCGGGATCAACAAAAAACTATTGAGGTAAAGTTTTCTGCTCCCATGGTACTTCGCTTTCCTACCTTTATGCTTGTACTCAGTCCCCTTCTTCTAATGGCAGAAATTCGAAAACGCCAAACAAATTTACTTTTTACCTTGAGGAAATCAGTATTTCCCGAAAAAATTTGACAAAAACAAAATTATTTATCACCATTTTGTTCTAAAATTAACGGCAGTTGAATTATTTATTCTTGCAAAGCCCACTGCATTTACAGTGCGTGAGAAACTGATTACTTTAAAAATTTAAACATTCACGGTGACATACCTTTTTGTAAAAAATCGAGAATGCAGGGTGTATTTTCTACAAGGCTTATTAATTTTTTCAAAAAATTTGCTTTGAATATCTTACTGGTGCCCCTCTATCGAATCCCATATGCTCCTATAAAATAAGTTTTCTTTTTTCAGATTTCGAAAATTTATTCGCGTACAAGTTCACTTTCTTGCATTTATGAAAGATATAATATCATACGCTTTTTTCAGGGTTTTCCGGGTGCGAAGGCATTTGAACCTTTTGGTGATTTGATTTATGAAGAGTGTGATATTGTGATACCAGCGGCTTGTGAAAAAGTGATCAACAAAAATAATGCTGGAAGGATTAAAGCTAAGGTGGGATACAGATACCTGGATAATTGCAGACTGAGAATTACCAGTGTACAAGTCTTCTCATTAACTCTAAGGGCTCCGCATTATCAGTTCGAGCAGTTTTGGTACACTGTTCTTTACTCGAATGTGAGGCAATACAAAGCGCTGCAAAAACAAAATTCCATTTTCATCAGGAACTATTATAGTTTTCTGTACGCTTTGGGAAATGGTACCTCAGTCGA